GCTCTCAAGACCTCGTCCTCCTCTCTTCCCCGCTGACTCCTCTCCTGCATTATTTCTGGCTCCTCCTCGGCTGACAAACTGCTCGCCTTGCACGGCCAGGCCAGCACCCCTGTCCCATCCGGGCTACAACGTTTGGGCTCCGCACTGTGCGTCAGGTGCAGGCTGGACCGGGAGGCGCGTTTAACCCTCTAGTTCCAGGAGGTGGGAGTGTCACCCCAGGCGTACAGACAAAGAGCCTGCACTTAGAACAATGAATTCATCTGTCCAAGTTCAAGTGCAAGTAAGCAGTGGCCTTACTCCTACCCAGAACAGGTCACAGGCCACAGGCCACAGACAGTGATGGCTCAGAGCCCACCTTCTCTGATCGGGCCTTCACGGGGCCACTGCCCTCTGTGGATGAGCCAGGCTCTGAGTTTGCCCCTAGGCCTGAAGGGCACAGACCTCTAAGCTCGTGGAGTGCATATCTCTCTCTCTCTCTCTCTCTCTCTCTCTCTCTCTCTCTCTCTCTCTCTCGGTGATAATGGAGCCCCAGAGAGGGGCAGTGACTGTCCAGGGTCACGCAGCAGAGCAAAACTAAAACCAAGGCCGCTGGCCTTCCATTCCAGATGCTTCCCACGCTGCCTGCACTCCCATACCCGGGCTTCCCGTCTGACCAAGGGCCGTAAGCCCGTGCCCACCAGCGCAAACGGAGCACACGGGTGCCGTGTCCAGGGCGAGACTGTCCCCTTGCCCTGGCCAGGGGCCTTCTCCCAGCATCCACTCCGCCCTTCTCGGGTCACATCCACACCCCACACACACACACACACACACACACACACTCACCTCCAGCCTGGGAATGCCTGCCTCCCTCTGCTGTCCTCTCCTCTGCCAGCTCCCGCTCATGCCAGCTGGGAGTGTGACAGCAGGGGCCTCCCCCGGGCGCAGGAGGAAGAGCTGGGTTTACACACACTCTGGGGCCCCAGAAGGCAGCGCGGACAGGTGGGAGAAGCGCTGTTGTGAGGAGGGAGATTTTGGCTCGAGATAAAGAGAAACTTGCTGGAATCCGGAGCAGCCAACAGTGGAGTAGGCAGCCCGGGGCTGGCGCGTCCCCGGCTGCGGGGGTGTGTGAGCCGGGCAGGATGACTACCGCTCAGAGGTGCCCAGGACGGGGCTCGTGAATCACACGGAACGGGGACACCCAACTAGCGCAGCCCAGAGGTCCCTTCCAGTCACACAATGTGTTTTGGGGGGATCCCCTTGCCTCCCTAAAACCTTAGGCAGGGTCGGCAGGCTGCAAGTAGTCCCCTCCCTCCTTCCGGCCCTGAGGACCTAGAACAGACAGAGCCCTCACACGTGTCCACAGGTAGTGCAGTGGTTAGAGGCGCGGAGTCTGGAGCTGGGTTCAAACGGCAGTCCTCCCCGTGTCTAGCTGTGTGACCTGGGGCCAGTTCCTTAGCTTCTGTGGGCCTGGGTTTTCTTATGTGTGAAACAGAGGAAATAATGGTGTTGTCAAAATTAAGAATATATGCAAAGCACTTAATACAGTGCCTCGCATGGACTGAAGTGAAAAGTATGTGTTATATTAATGAGTACGTTTAAAACTCCTCATCTCAGCGTTTTACAGTTTGCAAAACTCCGTGCGTCTCGTGTTTCCTTTGATTCTCACCAGACCCCAGCCAGGGAAGTCAGCGAGGCAGGTCTTACACGGCCCCTTTCACAGACGGGGAAACCGACCCCTCAGAGGACCCCCAAGGTCAGACAGCTTGTAAGTGGCAGCATGGCACTCAGATTTCTCCCCGGGCCCTCTCCTATTTGCTGGCACCTCGTCCTGCCCAGGAAGATGGGGGAGTGGAGGAAGGGGTCTGAAGATGGCGAGAGTTCCCCAGCTGCACAGGTCTCTGTCCAAGAAGAGAAGCGGGAAGGGGTGGGGCACAGGAGGTGGCAGCTGAGGTGCGTGTGAGGAGGCTGCTGCCAGGTGGGTGGGCTGCAGAGATGGGTGGGCTGAAGACCGAGGTGTGATTGAATGACTTGGCGGCGTGAGGGGTGAAACACAGTTGCCTGAGGGGGAGGCAGTGGGGAGGATGAGCTCACTGCTGTGCCCACCCCCGTGCCCACCCCTGTGCTGGCACAGCCAGGGGGTTCTGACGCCCAGCCATGCAGAGGAGACAGATGGGTTTCAGGGCAGCCTGGGGGTGAGCACGATGTGCCTGGAAACGGGGTATCCACGGCAGTACGTGTGTGGACGCTTACGGCAATGGCGCCACAAGCGGCTCCTCACCGCGGGCTTCACAGGTGCCTGACAAACGCGTGAGGCCAAGTGCAGTTCGCTGAGCGCTGAGCACAGCGCCCTCTCAACCGGTACGCTTGTTACTGTGCTGATTGTCCTAATCATCCCCTCTAGCCCTTCCAAAAAAAAGCCCCATGAAGTAGATAGAGAACCCCCATTTTACAGATGAAGAAACTGAGGCTTGCTGAGGGGCCAGAGCTGAGCCCGGGGGGCGTCGCTCCCACCCCACCCCACCCCACGGTGTAAATGCAGTGGCTTTGTAAATGCCCAGGTGCCCAGCCCGCGCTGGATTCTTTGCTGAATGAGTCTCCGAGAGCTCCCAGGCCTGCCAGAGCGGACAAGGCCAGGCAGGGAGCGCCCACAGATGGAGCAGCAGGCTTGGCTGCCTGTGAGACACAGTTGGGGTGTCCCCATGGGGGGCTGGGCTCCGGAGCGGGGAATGAATGGACCACGTGGTCAGCACGAGGCGGGGGGAGGCCCTGAGGGTGAGGGTGAGTGCTGAGGAGGGGCGCCTAGAGAGGGGAAGGGCTGAGGAAGGCCCGTGAGGCTGGCGGCAGACTGGACCAGGAGGGATTGCTGTTGTGGTCAGGAGGGGTAGGAGGGCCTGGGGTTCGGGGGGCTTCCCAGGGGTACAAAGATAAGAGAGCAAGCGAGGGAGAGAGAATGAGAGTGTGAGAGAAGCTTAGGGGTGAGCCAAGGTGTAACGGGGCTGCCAGCATGCATGCGTGTGTGCCAGTGTGCGCACACACACGTGTGCCCAAAGGCCTGGCGTGAAGTGCTTAGGATCCGAAGGGCACATGTTACCCAATGACGGTCTGTGAGGGCGTGGGAGGGAGGGCTGGATGTGCATGGTGGGTGTCTGGGAGGGGAGGGCGTGTCCGGGGAGTGAAGGCGTGTGTGGAAGAGTCTGCGTGTGCTGGAGGAGGCCGGGAGCTGGGGAGGGAGATGGAGGGGTGGTGTCAGTGAGGCCAGCAGTGTGGGGGTGAGGCTCTGGGAGTGTGTAGGGGCCATGCATGTAGCATGTACATGGCAGCCGGCGCCCGGGGAGGTCTCTGAGGCTGTGAAGTGGCAGTCTGTCTGGGCGGGGAGTGGGCGGCACGCTGCCAGGAGGTGTATTGTGTACGCAGGTGCGTGTGCCTGTGTAGGGGTGGGTCTGGGTGGGACCACAGAACATATGGGTCCGTGTCAGGTTGTGTCACCGGCAGAGACGGGCGCAGGGAGCGGCTGGGCCTGGGCAGACAGAGTCTGGAGGGAACAGGTCTCCAGCAGCCCCTCCAGGGCCAGCCCCCCTCAGGGGGCCAGAGTGTGGGTTCAGCCCGGGCCAAGAAGCCAGCGCAGGCCTGGGCTCCTGGAGGGCCACCCGCTGGCATCCCAGCCACCCTGCGGCTCTGAGGACAGGGTGGGTCTGAGAACACCTCCTTCAGCAGGAATGGCCCTGCCCCCTGCCCCCGGAAGAGCCAGCACCACCTGACACCAGCCCGCCTGGAGGCAGGAGGAGGCCGGGACCGGAGTGGCTGAGGCACTGGCAAAGCAGAAGGCATCCTGGCTGACAGGCCGGCAGACCTCCCTCTGCCTTCCTCCCCCCCCTGGCAGCAGACAGAGACTGCAAACCCCTCAGTCCACCGCCCCCAAAGGGATGCTCAGACACTGGAAGGTGGGCAAGAGGGAGGTCGGGAATGAATGAGAGGTCCTCGCCCACCCACCCCACCCCCCACACATATGAAACCAAAGGTGCACAGAAGGCCCCTCGGCAGCCAAGAGGACTGAGAGCCACGGCCCAGCCCCTAAGGTTGCTTTCCTCGGTCCTGGTCTGGACGGCTTCCCCGTCCACCTCCAGGCACAAGGACCGGCCCCTCCCGGCCCTGGCTGGTTCGGGGAAGCCCCAATGCCCTCAGCAGGGACTCAGGGGGGATTGAGAGCGGAGACAGCAGCCCCCAAAGCCAATGATGCCTTCTGGGGCCCCTCCAGGGTGTAAGGCTCACACTCCAGCCCAGAGAAGCCAGGGCAGATGTCTCGTCAGCGGGGGAGGAGGCTGGGACTGAGAAAAGGTCCCCTCCGCTCTGGGGTGGGGGTTAGCCCAGGCTGGCAGCTTCCTCCCTGCAGCACTCTCTGACCATAACCCAGTCACCGCCCCAGCACTCCCCCCCAGCGCAGCCCCCTCCTACGGCTTTCCCAGTCTCCTCTCATCACCCCATTCCCCCAGCAGCTTCCCCTCCTCTTCCTCAGGCCCCTTTCTCCCCGTCTCCGCCAGCACAGACCCCTCTCTGCCTCCACACCTTGGCACCTTCCCCTCTGCTCCCTCCCAGTAACCTCTCCTTGGGTCCCATCCCCCAGGAACGCCTGGTCCTCAGGGTGCCCCCCAGGAGGAAGCCCTTGGCCTGGCCCCAGTTCCTCGCCTCTCCACTACTGTCTCTCCCTCTCCAGCCCCCTCCCCGCCTCCCACGGAGCTCAGTTCCTGGCTGGTTTCTCCCCTGCAGACCCCTCGGAGCCCAACAGCCTCCCAGCCCCTCTGCTGAGCACTGCCTCCAGACCTGGGGGCCAGCACCGACTGGGGACCCCCCTCTTCAGAGCCTCCCGCACAGCCCTGCCTCCTCGCCCATTCCTCCCCCACCTCCGTTCACCCCAGCTCAGGGCCAGTGCCCCTCCTCAGGGAGGCCCCGACCCCCAGCCCCCCGCCGCCAAGCCTCCTGTCACCCAGCCAGCCTCACAGCGGCAGCGCCCCCGCCCCCCAAACCTATCCTCCCAGCCTCCCCCGCCCCTCTGATCGCTCCCCTCCGCCGATCGGCTCCCGCCCCCCGCCCATCTCCGCCGCCGCAGCACCCCCCTCCGCCCCCCGTACCTGGTCTGGGGGCTCCAGGAACTGAAGGGTGGGGATCAGAACCCCGGAGCCGCCCCGTCTCTGGCGGGTGACACAACCGGGGCCGGCGGCGTCGGCTGCCTCGAGCCACTCGCTCCCCACCGCGTCCCCGCCCGGCCCGCCGCGGTGCCGCTCGGAGGAGGATGCTCCGCGAGTCAGGGCGGCTGCTCCCGCCGCCGCATCCCTGCAACACCGACTGACGGCAGCATCAGCACCAGCGCCCGCCCCCTGCGTGCGCGCATTGGGCCTGGCGGCGCTAACGGACGAGCGGCGCAGCCAATGGAAAGGCGCAGAGGCCGCCAGGCCGGCGGCTCCATGGGCCCACGCCCCTCCCGCGCGGAGGACCCAGGCATCCCGGCCCCTGGGCATCCGAGCTCCCACCTGCCGCCCGCGGTCTTCACCCCTGGAGCCCGCGCCCCCAAACCGGCAAACGCTCAACCCATCCCAATGCCTTTTCTGGAAACCCAAGTGCCCTCCCCTCTCGCCCATTGGGCTGGGTCCTCGGGTCCCGCATTCCCAGCCGGCGGGCCCCAGGGGCAGCGCCCAGAGGCGGGACGAGCCGAAGAGGAGTCTGTGGGCTCCCACTCGGGGCACCAAGCGAGCCGAACCGGTGTGGGACCCGGGCCGCGGCGCCCTCTACTGGCCATGCCCAGGGGCGGCCCATACTAGGGAGGAGCCTAGGGAAGGGGGGGCCCTGCCTGCGGCTCTGGGGGCCTTTTCCAGCCTCTCACCTGGCCTCCACCCCCACCGCCCAGGGCCCCGGGCTGCCCTGGCTCTGAGGAGGCGGTGTCTTTGCTGGGAGAAGGACAGGCGGTGAGAGTGGAAAGGCGAGAGGAGGCGGGGCAGACCCAGGGGCTTGGGGTTTCCCAGCCCTGCCTCATGGGAATCCCAGGGTGTGAAGCTGGTTCCCAGTCCTGCGGGCACCGTGCGTCTCAGAGTGAGTGTGGTGCTGGGTGAAGCTCTTCCGGGAAGGGCATCGCATCACTATGCATGTGTGTACTGGCATGTGTGTTAGTATGTGTGTATTAGCATGTGTGTAAATATGTGTGTATTAGTACTCAGCCAATAAAAGGGGGGCCTAGCACCTTTGTGCACCACAAAGTTGGACAGTGGGTTTTTGAATGAAGCAGTGTGTGTGTGTGTGTGTGTACGCACGTGTGTACCAGACCATCCTGCCAGCTCACTCCAGGATCCTGATTTCTGTTGTGGGGTCTGTGATCTGCACAGCCAGTGGTAATTGGTGCTTCCTTAGCCAGAGGAACATGCAAAGAACACTCACATTCAACACTAATGCACGCATGAGCCTGCAGTGCACACTCACAGCCATGCACACCTACCCACATGCACACAGCCACTCCCAAAGCAGCACAGGGGACAGCTGCAGAAATGCCCACAAGTAGGACACCCACAGGCTAAGACACCCACAGGGTAGGACACCCATAGGACGCACGGGCTTGCCGAAGAACACACACAAACTTGTGTGCACAGGTGCCCGCACACTCAGAGGCCAATGCACATCCGGGAACAGGTGCACAGAGGGCCTGCCATGGTACTCGGCACAGAGCGTAGATGAGTGAGGACACCCACCTACCGAGGTCTCCCTCCCCAGCCTGCAGGGAGTAAAGGGGGGGGGGTAACCCAGGCTGCAGGGGGTGTTTCCTAGGGGTCGGGAAGAGAGATTGCTGAGCCAGACCAGGGGAGACCCTCAGGCTGGCCCCACCAGGGCCACTAAAGGAGCCAGAGAACGGGAACTGCTGAGTCAGGGACTCTGACCCCACAGCCCACTGCTCCACCCACCCACCCACCCAACTCCCTCCTCCTCCTGCAGTGCGCACACACAGACTCATCCAGTCAGGCACTGTGCGTACACGGACAGACAGGTGCAGCGGTTCCAGAATGTCTCGCTCTTATAGAGCACAAGGAGGTGTCAGGAGGACAGGGCCATAAAGAACGTAAGAGTGAGCATGAGCATTTGTCTCCTGTCCCCCTCCCCAGCTCCCTGGCCCACCTCTGCCTGTCAAGGGCAGGAAAGGTCACCTGACACGGCTGCACCTCCCTGCCCCTCCCCCCAGCTCCAAGGATGCCTCCCCCAAGGCCCAAGGTTCAGACCACCTACTGCAGTTGGGACCCACCACCTCAAGACACCCTCCCCAATTGCCCCCATCCCTCCCCCCAATGTGGCCCTTCTCTGGTGCGAAGTCCAGTGGGCTCACAAGGTGAAGGGGAAATGCAGCAAATGCAGCGTGCGTGTCTGAGCACACACATGCACACACTCAATGTGAAATGCATACACCGAACTCACACATACAACCATGAGCAGACAGTTCCACGGTGTACATCCGGGCGGATCGGCCCTGGGCACGGTTATGTGCACACACACACTCACACTCACACACACACACGCACACACACCACACACACACACGCACACACACCACACACACGCGCGCGCACATATGCACACACGCACGCATACACCGGCTAGGAAGAGGCCAGGCTGGGGCTGGGGAGGCGAGGCCACAGCCTGCAGGGATGGAGGCAGCTCGGGAGGCGGGCAGCTCAGGGAGAGAGCTGCTCTTCACAACACAATCACCGTCTGTTGTTATAGCAACTCAGCCCCCAAATCGTGAAACGGATATTACAGCCTCAGAGGGGGAAGGGCGGGAGAGGACTGAGGACGGAAGGCGGGACAGACGGGGGACCCAATGGAGGACAAGGCTTGGGGGCCACATGGGGCTGAAGAGTAATGGTGGGAGAAGGAGACCCAGCTGAGGAGCAGGCCAGGGGGAAGAGGGCGTGGGGTCAGGGGACCCGAGGGAGGGGGCCGAGGCCACGCCAGGTCCAGGACATTGGGCTCTGCAGGTGCGAGTCAGGTGCTTAGGCTCCACCCAGGACTAGCACAGCTGCCCTGAGGCACCCCCAGCTGGGGGGTTTGGGAAGTAGCTCCACTCCCAGGGCCGCTGCCTGGACCATCCTGACCCCAGAGGCCTCCTGGCCCAGGCTCAAACCCTTTAGAAGACCCCCGTTCACCCCCTAGCCTAGGCCTTGGCCTTCCTCGGGCAGCACTGACCCCCCAAAACCTCTGAGCTGCAACCTCAGAGGGAGGAGCTGGGCTGGGAGAGGCCACAGGAGGCTGAGAGCAGGATCAATATGCATTTCCTCTGGAGTCACTGTCCTTCCGGCTGGCAGCAGCACCAGGCTGCAGGCTGCGAGCCCAAATGCAGCCCCCCCAACCCCAGGCAGGAAAGCTGCCCAGGCCCCTCCCTCCACCACCGCCCGCAGCGGGCACTCAGGGCTGCCCTTCCCCTCCCAGGATTCTCTGCGGTGAGCTCCCCACGGCTGGAAGAACTCAAATAGCAGCTCAAGGCCACCTGTGGGGCAAGGGAATGTGGCATGTGGGCTGAAGGCTCTGGCTACCCAAAACCACTGGGCCCAGTGAGTCCGGGTGCAAAGAAGTGCTGGTTTCAAGTTTTAGGCCAGAGATTCTGGACTCCTCAAGATGTCAGAGCCTCCAAGATGCTTAAGTTCCAAGGGGCTCTGGTCCTAAGGTTCTCTCCCCCGGGCTTCTAGTCCCCAAGATTCCAGACCCACGAGACCTCCGATCTCCCAGGATTCTCTGACTACAGACTCGGCCACGCCAACGTTCTAGTCCCGCCCCCTCCACAAGTCGTGGCTCTGACGGCCTAGGTTCATGACACGGGCCTTTTTATTCCTGGAAAATACAAATATTCACAAGAGTCTGTACAACCTTAGGGACACCAGCCCTGGCCCTGCCCTCAGCCACATGCCACCCTCATGCCCCACCCCCCAGCCCAGCCTGCTGCCCCAGCACCCGGCTCCCTGCTCTGGTCCGGGTCTTTGCTCCAAGGCAGGCATGCGTGCTTGATCCAGTCACAGCTGGGAAGAGAAAAACAGAGGTGGTGAGGAATATCCTTCCCCAAAAGCAGGAGTCCCTCTGGCCCAGGCCTTTCGGACAGAGCGCCCTATCCTGGACCCCACCCCCACCCCCACCCCCGGCCCTGGGCGGAGGCTCCGGAGAAGCAGTGGGAGGACTCACCATCACTACAAGTGGATGTCAAACACTCCGTCCTCCACCGTCTGTACCTCCTCTTCCCGGATCTCTGCGGGGGGGTCGGGGGTGGGGGGAGTTCATCACAGGATCGACTCCTGGGTCCCCGTGCCTGCAGCAGCCCTTGCCCCACTCACAAGAGGACCCCTTCCCACCCACCAAAAACCAATTCACTGAACGACCCAACAGCCCAATTCTGGAGGTTCTGCTAAGTTTTCATTTTGCCGCTGCCACAGGTCTGTCAGTGCAGTTTGCTTAAATGTCCGTGTTGTGTGTGTCACATTGGAGACACCAGCACTTCTGGAGGGTCCCATGCAAATGGTCTATTTTGGAGGACTTATGCTGATCCGAAAGGTTGTGGTCAATGGCCTTGGACCCCAGTTTAACACAGCTGTTCAGACTGCTCTCAGCCAAATAATCCTTTGAGGAATGATCATTCAGCACACTGACCTACAACCCCCAGAGCCCCCCAGAGAGCTGCGGGGGTGATTTTCGGGGTGAGGGGCTTAGAATTCTCAAAATGGGTCCAGAGCAGCCAGACAAGAAAATGCAGATAAATGGCTCACATAACTCCCTCTCCAATCCATTCCCAATCCCCCTGACAAAATAAGAGCGTGACTGGAATCTGAAGTCTCTTTCATTTCTACTCTTCTTTTTTTTTTTCTTTTTCTTTTTTAATATATTTCATTGATATTTTACACAGAGGAAGAGAGAGGGACAGAGAGCTAGAAACCGATGAGAGAGAATCATCAATCAGCTGCCTCTTGCACACCTCCCTACTGGGGATGTGCCCGCAACCAAGGCACATGCCCTTGACCGGAATCGAACCTGGGACCCTTCAGTCTCCAGGCCAACGCTCTAACCACTGAGCCAAACCGGTTTTGGCTCTACTCTTCTTTATATGTGAAAGTCTCTCCTCCTCAGCCTCAGAAGGTCAAGGGTTCCCTGGCTACCTCCTGGCACCCTTACCAGTCCAGCCCTCCTCACCACCCTACCAAAATTATACAAACTCTGAAACGGTTTCCCTCCTGGCCCTGCCTCCCTCCCTCCACAGGCCCACACAGAACGAGACTCTTCTTACCTGGGGGCCGGGAGCCGCGCCGGCCCGGGCGGGGCAGGGAGAAGCTGAAGGTGCGGTGGTGGGTGTGCGTGGGGGAGGGGGAGGAGGCGCACCCCTCCAGGCTCACGCTCTGGGCCCGGCGCCGGCACTCCACCGACAGGCGGTCCTTGCACTGCTTGTGGCAGTTCACCCCACAGGCTGGGGGAGGCGGAGGGGGGCCGCCCGGGACATCGGTCAGAA